CACTTCCCTCCCTCCCCCTCCTCTCCTCTCTTCCTCCTCTCCCTCCCCTCTTCCTCTCTCTCCTCCTCACTTCCTTCCTCTCTCTCTCCTCCTTTCTTCCTCTCTCCCTCCCTCTTCCTCTCTCTCTCCTCCTCTCTTCCCTCTCTCCTCCTCACCCTCTCCCCTTCTCTCTCTCTCTCTCCTCATTCCCTTCCCATCCTCTCTCCTCCTCCTTCTCTTCCTCTCTCTCTCCTCCTTCTCTTCCTCTCTCTCCTCACTTCTCTTCCTCTCTCTCCTCACTTCTCTTTCTCTCTCTCTCCTTCTCTTCCTCTCTCTCTCCTCCTTCTCTTCCTCTCTCTCTCCTCACTTCTCTTCCTCTCTCTCTCTCCTCCTTCTCTTCCTCTCTCTCTCCCCTCACTTCTCTTCCTCTCTCTCCTCCTTTCTCCTCTCTCTCTCTCCCTCCTTCTCTTCCTCTCTCTCCTCACTTCTCTCTCTCTCGCTTCTCTTCCTCTCTCTCTCCTCCTCTCTCTCCTCATCTCTTCCTCTCTCCCTCCTTCTCTTCTCTCTCTCTCCTCACTTCTCTTCCTCTCTCTCCTCACTTCTCTTCCTCTCTCTCTCCTCCTTCTCTTCCTCTCCCTCTTCCTCTCTCTCCCTCACTTCTCTCTCTCCCTCATTCTCTTCCTCTCTCTCCTCACTTCTCTCCATCTCTCTTGTTGCTTCTTTCTCCTTATTTCCCTCCTTCTCCTATCTATTTTCTCTTCAGCTCCCTCTATCTCCTCTCCCTCTCTCTCTCGTGTTGATTCTTTCTACTCCCCTCTCCGTCTCTCTTCACCTCCCTGTCCTCTCTTCACCTCTCTCTCTCTCTCTCTCTCCCTCCCTCTCTCTCTCTCTCTCTCTCTCTCTCTCCTTCTTCCTTCTCCCAGTTAAGAGGAAAAATTAACTAGGAACCTTTGAGAATCCATTACTATACAAAGGTTAAATGACTTTTTTTACAACATCAGTTAAGGAAGAAAAAAAAAGGTGTCCTAACTCGATCCCGGGTTCTCAGGTGTGAGTAGATGACTGCCCCCAGGAGACTAGAGTGTCGCCCGGGAGAAAAACATAATTTGCATACAGATGGTTCCTTAACTGCCTTGTTAGAGACTGGGTGGCGGCGATTGGTTAAAATGTAGATGGGTGGAAGGAGTTGTTGTGAGGAAGAGAGGACGTCCTTATCTTGGGGTGTCTTCTTCTCCTTCTTCTTCTTCCTCTTCTTCGCTGTTTTTGTTCCTTTTTCTAGTCTTTAAGATTAACCTAACCTAACCAAACCATACCTAACCTAACCTAACCTAACCTAACCTAACCTAACCTAACCAAACCTAACCTAACCTAACCTAACCAAACCAAACCTTACCTAACCTACAAACCTAACCTAACCTAACCTAACCTAACCAAACCTTACCTAACCTAACCTAACCAAGCCTAACCTAACCTAACCTAACCTAACCTAACCTAACCAAACCTAACCTAACCAAACCTTACCTAAAATAACGCTAACTCAACTTAACCTAACTTGAATCACCTTAAGATTAACCCCCGATTAATTTCACCTGATTAATAAACACACTAACGTTACCTGGAGGTTGGTTTAGGTTAGGTTAATTTAGATTAGGTTGTTACATTAGGTTAAGGTGTTTAATCACATGTGAAATAAGGTTGAGGTTAGGTTGGAATTCAATCAGACGTAAAATAAGATCAGGTGCTTATAATAATAATAATAATATTCACGTGATTCTAACAGATATTCTTAACCTGTGTCTCCCATTAATCTCAAAATACATAACTTTTCTCTGAGTTATAATCACATCCTGCCCATGTTTACCCCCGACAGCCTCTCATGACGTCACTCACACTTCCGGGAAATGTTGGAACACTCGAGGCATCCGGTGGAGGAGAGGTAAGTCTTCAACCCGACCTCGATTCTTGTATTTGGAACTTAAGTTTTTTTAAGTCACTTCATTGGGAAAATAAGGTTTGTTTATAGGTAACCATTACTCTTGTGGAGATATTGGGAACTAGTTTAATGAGTCCTCGTGTTGTCTATTGTAAATCAGAAGCGTTTTAAAAGACAGGAAGTATCAAGTGGACGGTGTGAGATGGTCAAGTCGACACCCGGGACAAGAGAACGCTAAGAAACACTTCATTAAGGGTCACATGGCGATAAAGAACGTGGAGATATATCATTCTTATAGAGTACGGAAAAAACCCCTTCCTCCTTCACCTGCCGTGTGATTCATTAGCTCAGGTGAAGTGTAATACTCCTTGTGGTCAGATATGTAATCTTTTTCTCTCCTCTCCTCTTGGGGGCACATCTGACCTTGCTGAAGAACCCGTAGAGACGAGGGAGATGTTCTAGTGCGCAGGCGTCGACTACTGAAGGTGTGGGAGGCGCAGGGGTATATATACAGCATCAAACACCTTGATAATGTTGTGTTTTGGCTAAGAGGAAAAGGAGTCACCCGTACAGCCACACCTTACCATACAGCCACACCTCACCATACAGCCACACCTCACCATACAGCCACACCTCACCATACAGCCACCTCACAACCCCACCAGGAGGTTTTAATTGTAGTTTGAGACACTATATCAACCTCCCTCCTTCTCTCCAAGATGGTGAGGTTGATGGTGACGATGGTGATGATGGTGGCTTCCTGTTCCTGCCTCGGTCTTGTTGGCAGGAGGATACCGAAGAATAGTGAGTAATATCTTCCGTCTCTTACTGTGTCTAAGTTATTATTCATTCCCTCACTCCCTCTTTCTCTTACTCTCTCACTTCCTTCCTTTTATTACCCCTTTTGATTCTTCCCTATCACCCCTTTTCATTCCTCTATCCCTTGTTTTCACTCCCTCCCTATCCCTTGTTTTCATTCCCTCCCTATCCCTTGTTTTCATTCCTCCCTATCCCTTGTTTTCATTCCTCCCTATCCCTTGTTTCATTCCCTCCTATCCTTGTTTTCATTCCTCCTATCCCTTGTTTCATTCCTCCCTATCCTTGTTTTCGTTTCCTCCCTATCCCTTGTTTCACTCCCTCCCTATCCCTTGTTTTCCTCCTCTCCTTGTTTTCATTCCTCTATCCCTTGTTTCATTCCTCCCTATCCCATTCCTCCCTCCTTGTTTTCATTCCTCCCTATCCCTTGTTTTCCTCCTCCCTATCTATTTTCATTCCTCCTATCCATTGTTTCATTCCCTCCTATCCTTGTTTTCATTCCTCTCCATTGTTTCATTCCTCCTATCCTTGTTTTCATTCCCTCCCTATCATTCTCTTTCAAATCCCTCAATTTCTCCCTCTCTTCCCCCTCTTTCCAATCCCCCATTCCCTCCCTCCCTATTTCTAGCCTATCCCTCCTCCCTCCTCCCTATTCCCAACCCTTCCCTCCCTATTTCTAATCGCTCCTTCCCTCCCTATCCCTCATCCATCCTAAGTTACGACAAAATTCTACCCACCTTTCGATTCCAATTTAGACCTCAGTCAGTATAAACATCAGAGTCTCAAATGAACTTAGGGTTTATTTTCCGTTTGTCTCTAAGTGTTTTGTTTTAGCTTACGATTGTCTGAGTGAGATTTAGTTACGATATTTTTGAGTGTCATTTTGAATAAACTAACGATAGTTCTTGTCCTCTGATTCTCAACTATTCTTGTGGTAGTTCGTGTTTCTACTGATAAAACGACGTATTTAGTGTAATTTTGTGCCATATAGTGTAATTTTGTGCCATATAGTGTCATTTTGTGCCATATAGTGTCATTTTGTGTCATATAGTGTCATATAGTGTCATTTAGTGCCATTTAGTGACATCTGGGACCCTGTGGTGCCATCTGACGGGACGTGAGGAATAAAACACCAGCTCAGTCGTGTTTCCTTGACTAACCTACAGCCATTTGTCCACAAGGAACGATGTTAAGGTCAGGTTAGGTTAGGCTAGGTTAGGATGACTCTGGGAATAATCTAATTAATTATCCAACACTAATTAATCGCCTGCTAACAATTCTCTGATTATAATTATATTTTTCATCGTGTTTAAGTTATCATTAATGTACTAAACTGGTGTATTGGGCTAAAACTAACATACCTGTAAGCTAATTAGGTCTTTCATAGAGTTTTATTCATTTTAAGGTCAAGGAATTACCTGTATGACTCTCTAACTGTATGGGAATAGCCATACCTGTACCCTATGTAATTAACGATATATACGATCATGGGGGTAATTTCTGTACCTGTAACCTATGTAATTAACGATATATACAATCATGGGGGTAATTTCTGTACCTGTAACCTATGTAATTAACGATATATACGATCATGGGGGTAATTTCTGTACCTGTAACCTATGTAATTAACGATATATACGATCATGGGGGTAATTTCTGTACCTGCAACCTATGTAATTAACGATATATACGATCATGGGGGTAATTTCTGTACCTGTAACCTATGTAATTAACGAGGAAAATTACTGTAACTGTATTCAAACCTGTTAAATCTGTACTATAATGCCTAGACTTATATATTCGTGGAGTCGGAAAGATTTGGTACAATTTCTAAGCATTCGGTCTTACCTTCTACAGGTTGGTGGAGCAAGAGGTCGATGATGCCCTTCCTCACCCAAACACCTGAAGGAGGAAGTGCCCTGATGGATCCTACACGTGGAGGAAGTGCCCTGATGGATCCTACACGTGGAGGAAGTGCCCTGATGGATCCTACACGTGGAGGAAGTGCCCTGATGGATCCTACACGTGGAGAAAAGTCCCTGATGGATCCTACACGTGGAGGAAGTGCCCTGATGGATCCTACACGTGGAAGAAGTGTCCTGATCAATCCTAATCGAGACGACTCCACAATCCTCACTTCCCCAGACCAAAAGACCTTGATATATCCAACATACCCCTTACAAGATGACAAGCCTCTCATATACTCGACATATCCTTCGGCCAACGTAGAGTCCTCAGCATACCCACTCCAGGACTCAGCTAACGAGAAGCCTATAAAATACTCAGTATACTCATCAGCTAACGGAAAACCTTCAATATACTCAGCATATTCTTCAGCAGACATCAATGACCCTCAGAGTGCCACCAGGGCCATCTCAACAGTGCCAGGTAATTATTTAACTCAATTGTTCACGATCTCTCTCTCTCTGACATTTGGTTTACTGGACAACAATCTCAGAGGGAAAAAATCTCATTGGCTAATAACCCATTGTGTGTGTGTTGTTGTGTGTGTGTGTGTGTGTGTGTGTGTGTGTGTGTGTGTGTGTGTGTGTGTACCAGTTCAGTCACGTCATTTCATGGGTAACTTTACTCTTATTAATGCTTCATGTACTGTATGTATACCCACAGTAAATACGGATAATCGCCAATTAAATTCTAAAAATCATCTGAGTTTTTTGCCGAAGAGAATCATTTTGTTTTTATTGTTATCAGTCAATGGTAATTAATTAGTATATGGTAAACGTTGATTTGTTTTATGTAGGACGTCGGTAACTATTACCAGGTGACCCAACAATGACTACAATAGGTCAGGTTGTATTAGGTCAGGTTGGGTTAGTTTAGGTTGGGTCAGGTCAGGTTGTATTAGGTCAGGTTGGGTCAGGTTAAGTTTTCTATGAAAGTATAAAGTCATTTGTATTAAAATGATCCCTATGGTTGTCTAGGCCAGTCTGAAGTTCTTAAAAGCATATAATAAAAGTTATCGGTATTAGGCAATATATATATTCTAAATTGGTGAAGATTTAGATAAAATTACACCTTTGTGTATATTTACATCTTGCTGTCTCTCTCTCTCCATTATTTCATCATTGTGTCCTCCGTGTCTCTCACTGACCCTGTTCTCGTGCCGGCAGAAGTGAGGGAGACTCCGGTGGGGCTTCCTTGGGGGGTCTACCGGCAGTGCTACCAGCGGCCTCTTCCTCCCTTCTCCCCCTTCCTCCGTCACGCTGCTCTACAAGCCACTCTAGACCTGCTGTCACGCTACCACACACACACGCTCGCTCCCCCGCCAAGACAACCCATGAGAGTCCTTAAAGGTCACGCACACCCACTCCAACGCCAGGATCATCACACACACACCCACACACGCACGCCAACTCGACGCATGGGCGGACGGACGCAAGCCACCCAAACAAAGTTCATCGGAATTGCTGAGACCCCAACTGGTGGGCCCTGGAGGAGTGGTCATGAATTATTGATAACACTGTACACTGGTCTAATGGACGACTAACAGAGAAAACGCTCCAGTGTCGTTTTCTTCAATTATACAACGACCTTCTGTGGATGATATGATGATAAACTGATGTTATATGAGATTTATATATATATATATATATATACATTCACACATATATATTTACTCATCATATTACTTATACATACATATACTCATACGACTCATGTGTGATGGTAAATTTTAGAGAACTCAGCTGCGACAGATTTACCTACAGATTATATTTACATAAGTTACCCCTCACGTCCCCCTCCATGTTCTGTTGACTTTGTTTACATACGAGAGCTATATACTTGAGTGAACTATATGCTTAACAGAGCTATATAGACTTAATAAAGATCCGAGGCAATCACAGTGTTTCGCTCGACCCTTCATGTACCGTATGTGTGTTGGTGAAAACTTATGAAATTTCGTTCAGGTGAGATGAAAAATACTAACTTGGATGTTAATTATGTTAAGTAGGAAGAATTTATTTTATTATTATTATTTTTTTTTTAGTCTGTCTGTCTATCTGTCTGTCTGTGTCTATCTATCTACAAACATAGCATACATGGATCTATGGCCGCACACACACACACACACACACATACACACACACCTCATATACACACATACACCAAAAACATATCCAGAGCAGAACACAGACAGACAGACAGACAGACAGACAGACACGAATACAGAATATGTTAACATCTTAATACTTTAACTACCATAACCCTTACAACCATAACCTTACAACCATAACTACCTTACAACCATACCCTTACAACCATAACTACCATACCCTTACAACCATATCCCACAACCACAACACCATACCATACAACCATAACCCTTACAACCATAACTACCATACCCTTACAACCATAACTACCATACCCTTACAATATAACTACCATACCCTTACAACCATAACCTTACATACTTAACTACCATACCCATACAACCATAACCTTACAACCATAACTACCATAACCTTACAACCATAACCTTACAACCATAACTACCATACCCTTACAACCATAACCTTACAACCACCAACTACCATACCCACAACCATAACCTTACAACCATAACTACCATACCCTTACTTATAACCTTACAACCATAACTACCATATACTTACAACCATAACACATACCCTTACAACCATAACTACCATATCCATACAACCATATTTACCATACCATACAACCCTTAACCTTACAACCATAACTACCATACCCACAACCATAACCTTACAATAACTACCATACCATACAACCATAACCTTACAACCATAACTACCATACTGTACACAAGCCACCAACTACCACATACCATACAACCATGCCACACAACCATAACCTTACAACCATAACTACCATGCCATACAACCATAACTACCATACCTTACAACCATAACCATACCTTTACTACTACCATACCCTTACAACCATAACTACCATACCTGTTACTACCATAACATACAACCATAACACCATACCTTTACAACCATAACACACCATACTATTTAAACCATACAACAACTACCATGCCCACTACTACCACAACCTTACGATATAACTCCCACAACATACCAACCATATGCCATACCTTTACTACCATAACTACCATAACCTTACAGCCATAACTACCATACACTTAAATTCACATCTACCATACACTAATTACCCTATCCTTACCTAACTAACATACCCTAACATGCATCCCTAACTACCATAACCCAACTACCATAACCTTCCTACCATACCCTAACAACTACCATAACCTAACTACTATAACCTTCCTACCATAATCCCAACTGCCATACCCTAACTACCATACCCTAACTACCATAACCTTCCTACCATAACCTAACTACCATAACCTTCCTACCATAACCTAACTACCATAACCTTCCTACCATAACCTAACTACCATACCGTAACTACCATACCCGAACTACCATAACCTTCCTACAATAACCTAACTACCATAACCTTCCTACCATAACCTAACTACCATAACCTTCCTACCATAACCTAACTACCATAACCTTCCTACCATAACCTAACTACCATAACCAAGTACTCCAGTAAGCCCCCAACCATCTCCTTCACCATCCCTCATGACTGTACACAAAAATGGTCAACCTTTTTTTTTCCCCAGGAGGAGGTCAGGTTAATAGGTTTTCTAGGTTAATGCATCCTTGTTGACTTTTCCCAGTGCAGGAGAGTCTTTCTTCCCTAAGCTGCTTAATCTAAATGCTGGTGAGGGAAGGAGGGAGGGAAGAGAGGTGGGTGAGGTGGGGAGGGTGAGGTGGGGGAGGTGGGGAGGAAGAGGTATTTTGTGAGGGATTGTTGTTATTGTTGTTATTGTTGAGGTTCTTGGTGGTGTTATTGTGATAGTTGTTGTTGTGATGGTGGTAGTTGTGGTTGTTGTTGTTATTATTGTGGACTGGTTATTATTATTATTATTATTATTATTATTATTATTATTATTATTAGTAGTAGTAGTAGTAGTAGTAGTAGTAGTAGTAGTAGTAGTAGTAGTAGTAATAGTAGTTTTAACATCATTATTACGTATGCAGTTCAGTATTTACAATATTAATAAATGTACTAGGTAATAATAAAATAAATAAATAAACAAAAATATTCACCAAAACAACATTAAAGTAGAAATATATCAAGATTTTCATTATTATTCACGAATGAAAAATAAAAAAAAATAAAAAAAATAAACGAAACAAAATCGAAAAAAAAAAAATCCCATTATAATAACAAGACCGGACATAAATATCACCTGTCATTCAGTTGGCAACCAGACGGGTCCCTTTGATCCACCGAGTGAGGGTGAGATGCGACAGATCCAACGGGCATTTATCTTTAACTAAGTTACCCCTCCTCTCTCGTCCAGCTGACTACGGGCTTTCAGAATAGGAAGACCATCTGTTCTACCGTGAAGCAGGAGAGGCAAGTTTTGAGATAGTGGATATGTGTGGGTTTTTTTTATATATGTGTGTGTGTGTGTGTGTGTGTGTGTGTGTGTGTGTGTTTCCTACTGAATTAGAGAGTGTAGGTTGTGAGTTATTGAGAGAAAAAGAGAGAGAGGGGAGGAGAAGGAGAGATCAAGATGATGAGGGAAATTGTAGAAGAGAGATCAGAGAGAGAGAGAGAGAGAGAGAGAGAGAGAGAGAGAGAGAGAGAGAGAGAGAATAGATAAATAGATAAGTTGACACTGAAGGGGAATGATTTGGTTGTAAATGAGAGATAGAGAGGCAGTACAAGAACCTCTCCACACCCCACAACCCCCTCTCCACACCCCACAACCCCCTCTCCACACCCCACACCTTCTCCTTCCACTCCCTACGACCACATTAAACCCCTTCATTCTCTTCTCCTTTCCTATCTTTCTCCTCCTTCCCTCTCTTCCTCTTTCCTTCTCCTCTCCTCCGTCTCACATCGTAGCATGAATGGGAGGCGCCACAGAGGAGAATGAAAACACGACTTACTGAACTAACATAGGGTTCAGTTGAGCGTGTATCGTCCGTCCTATGCCCACACGTCACAACGGAGGAAAACCCAGACGTGAGTGGGTGGGGGAGTGGGGGAGAGGATAGGGAAGGGGTGGTGGGGGAGAGGATAGGGAAGGGGTGGTGGGGGAGAGGATAGGGAAGGGGTGGTGGGGGAGAGGTTGACGGGAGACATGGGGAGAAAAGTGGAGGAGGTTAGTTTGGGAGGATAGGTGGGGGGGAAGACGTAGGGAGGAAATTTGGGAGGAGAGATAAGGTAGGAGAGGGAGGGAGGATAGGTAGGGAGAGGTTGAAGAAGAGAGGAATTACTAAGAGACAAGATTAGGTTAGGTTAAGGATAGGTTAGGTTTAGGATAGGATAGGTTAGGTTAGGTGTGTCTGTGTGAGTGTTAGGTGTATTTTTGTTTCTCTCTGTCTATCCCTTTCATCGTTTCTATCCCTCTCACTATCTGTCTATCCATCCATTTATCTAGCCATCTCCCTCTCCCTCACAGGTGCACATAACTCATACCTTACCTGTATTAAAGGGAAGCAGCGTCACAGTCACACAACCTCTGATGGCATGAGATATATTCAATACATCTCTCTCTCTCTCTCTCTCTCTCTCTCTCTTTTTGTCTGTCTGTCTGTCTCTCTCTCTCTCTGTCTGTCTCTGTCTGTCTCTCTCTTTTTGTCTGTCTGGCTCTCTCTCTGTCTGTCTCTCTCTTTCTCTTTCTGTCTGTCTCTCTGTCTCTCTCTTTTTGTCTGTCTGGCTCTCTCTCTGTCTCTCTCTCTCTTTCTCTCTGTCTCTCTTTTTGTCTGTCTGTCTTTCTCTTTATATCTGTTTCTTTTTCCTGTCTGTCTGTCTTTCTCTTTGTCTGTCTCTCTCCCACTCTCTCTTTCTTTCTTTCTCTCACTCTTTTTTCTCTGTCCATCTCTCACTCTTTTTTCTTTCAGTCTATCTCTCACTCTCTTTCCTTCTTTCTTTCTATCCCTCTCTTTTTCTATCTGTCGGTCGGTCCTTCTGTATATGCCTATCTCTCTTCTCTCTCTCTTTCCCTCTCCTGCAGGTACACCCAACTCTTCCGTCACAGTATGAAAAGCGAAGCGGTATCAACACCATCAGGAAACTCCCACATGTTAGGGGCTCGAGAGGTCACTCCTTTGATGCCCCGCCCCCCCCCTACTGTAGGTGCGGGCTGCGACAGATCACCTAGCTATTTATATTTACTTTAGTTACCCCTCTCACATCCCCCCCCCCTTCCCCTGGTGACTCCTTTCTGTATACAGGTCTCTCATTCATACATACATATATACATACTTACATACATACATACATGCATACGTTTACATACATACATACATACATCAACAACGAAAAATAAAAATAAAAATGAAATGTAAGTAAAAAAAAAATCCAGTGTGAACCGTCTTTATGGAGAGAGAGAGAGAGAGAGAGAGAGAGAGAACAAAGCAAGTCTTGAATCATAAATTAATGTACCCAAGAGAGAGACAAAAACAGTGGCTTGGTGGCTAGTCCTTCTCAACCCCTATACTTGAGAACAAGAGTTTGAGTCCCGTAATTACTACTGTACACTGGCTCACCTGCTCCTCCTCCCTCCCCTAAGCACCCGGGTACGTGGGTTCGAGCCAGACCACTTGAGTATATCTTGTCTATACTCTATCGTCCATTATTACTGGGTAAATTGAATTATTTTTTGTGTATTTTAATTTTTTGGTTATGATGAGAATAAGAGAAAATGGAATTAGTATGACAGAAGTAAGAAAGAAGGGGGAAGAGAGAGAGAGAGAGCTGCAGAGAGAGAGAGAGAGAGAGAGAGAGAGA